TTCGTGAGGATCGGAGGGGCGTGTGAGGCGGCGCGACCTTTCTAGGTTGCGGAGGTGTTTCCGCTTGTGGTCGGACCGACCACTGCCTTATGATCATGTTTGTTTGCTTCTTGGAAAGTGGAGAACTTAAGAAACAAGGCTTCTCTCAGATACTAGAGTAAGAGGCGAATATATTTTACATTTATACCTGTACCAAGGAAAGTCGGAAGCTACTCTTCCTTTTCTATGCTTTTTCTTTATTGCTTTTTCTTTTTTTCTTTCTTTTTCTTTTTTTGACTTTCTTGTATTTTAACTTTTTGGAAATTTTAATAAAATTTATAACAAAGAATCAAGGCTACTCTCCTGTGCACATTTACATTTTAGTAAGCCGTGGGGTAACACAATGAAACTTCTGAATATACATTGATGGGCTTGTATTGCACATGAACATAGACAATCTCAAGTCAAACTTCTGAAAATGAAGGTGAATGGTTGATCTAGTTCAGACTGGCTGAAGCAAGATGCTTATGTAGTTATAGAATTTTCAGTACATTGATTATGTCAATAGACATTTGTTATATGCTATATGGCAATTTTAAAAATAACTTTAAAAATGCTTTCAATTAACATAGTTACTTTAGTCGCAAGTCAAAGATTTGCTTATTTAATTCCAGAAACGTCTCTTGGAGGCCAAGAAAGAAATTGAGAAGTTCTCAGTTAATGATAAGCAGGTAAGATTCCACTTTCTCTTTTAACAAACTGCATTTCTCTTTCTCTGCCACTTAAGGTTAGCGTAAATGAAGTACTGCTGTCCTAACTACCAAATGTTTTTGTAGATAAAAGGTGATGTGACAGTTTCCTCATAAGATCTAAAACTAAAGTACTCTCCACAAAATAATTTCATGAATAAGCTGAAGCTTGTTTGTTAAGGAAAAGGAAGTCCTAAACTACATATGTCCATGGTGATATTAGCCAGAGGTTAGAAATACACATTTACTTTGAGAGGGGCCTATAAAAGTTCCCAGTAGTATCTTTTCTGAAACTAATCGGATTGCATCCTTTAGTCAAAGTCTTTATAGCAAAGGGAATTCCCAGAATAATTATATATTATTTATGGCAGAAGAAGCAGGCTGACGTATGTTATATCTCTGGAATGAATGACCCATAATAAGTTCCAGTAGTGTAGGTGGCAGAAAACCTTAGAGGTCCTCAGAGCCTGCTACCTTATTTCCTCTACTGCAACAGAAGTATAAAATCATTCTATGATTTGAAGAAAAGTAGCAGATTAAATATATGTGTTCAAATCAGAGAGGTGTTTGTTAGTGAGTTCTTACATTCTTGGTATGCAAAATCAACAAGCACAGCAAAGTAATCTGCAATAGCATTTGGTGGATCATGAATACGTAACTGCACAGTAGTTCAAGGATTGGGAATCTGTGGCTCTTAGATTTCACTGAATTACAATTTTTAATATACCTCATTGGTCAAGCTGAGGTTAATGGAAGGTGGACTTTTGTGACCTTAGGAAGCTACAGGCTTTACCTTTTCCAGTCTATATTGTAGGTGATCAGTATAATGCATGCTGGCTGGTTTTACATTGTACAAAGTCATAATTTGCCTTACCTCTGGTTTTTTAACAAACCACAGTAGCTAGCTAGCTATATGATAAACTAAAACGAAACAACCCAGATTATGTTTTAGCATAATGCATAAACCAAACCATGTATCTAAAGTAATGAGTAAGTGATTTTTGAAACAATGTTATGTTTTTGATGCCAAAATGAATAAGGAAAAGGGAGAAAAAGTATAAAAAGTAGGTGTGTAGATAAAGCATGATAGAATGAGATTAACAGAAAGGAGAAGAAGTTAAGAACATAAGGAAATAAACAAGTTGAAAAGTTGTGGTAGAGTAAAAGAAATACAGATAGAAAATGGAAGAGTGACTAAATTTTAAGAAACTTTCTGTTGTCTTTAAAGAAGTGCTTCTCCATTAAAATAGAAGTTGTTGGGATTAGCCTTTTCACTAGCTTCTAATATATAAAGGAAAATTAATTACTTTGATATATATAAAAAAATATTACCAGCAATAGAAATTGCATAAATAAATAATAAATGCTCTGCCATTTTGGGGATTAGTAGATTTTGTATTAAGGGACAAATTTGGATATACCAGTCCTAATTAAGACTCACAAATCTATCTCTGCTTCTAATTCAAAGGGCATTATGCAGACGAGAGCTTATTAATTAGGAAAAAAAATATTAATTCTACTGCCTCTAGTGTGCCCTAAAGATAGGAAGATAATATATTGTACAGGCAAATTCCTCATTTTATAATGATGTGTTGTGAACTATAATATTTCAGTAATGATTTAAAAATAATGCAAAATATTCAATGTTATTACAATGGACTACTGGAAACATCTAGGGTTAAACCTAACTGAATCTAGTAGGATTTCTAACTTGTACAAGCGTCTGGCTTAATCTTAATCTTTATTATGGCTTTAGAACCAGAAAACACAATATACATGACAATATGTATGTCATTCATTCATTCATTCATTCATTCATTCATTCATTCATTCATTCATTCATTCATTCATTCATTCATTCATTCATTCATTCATTCATTCATTCATTCATTCATTCATTCATTCATTCATTCATTCATTCATTCATTCATTCATTCATTCATTCATTCATTCATTCATTCATTCATTCATTCATTCATTCATAGAGAGAGAGAAACACATACACCTAAAATCTATGGATATAAATAAAAATAAGTAGGAAATACAATAAAATAATAGATTAATAATACAAATAATAATGGCAATCACTGAGATTACTATTATTCTTCAGTATAGTGTGGGATGAATAGAACAAATAGAGGTATTGAATCAAACAACTGGACATGTCAGACAGAAGAAGCGACAGATAAGCTTCATATTCTGTGTCAGGATATTTCTGCAGAATAGGATTGATGAATCTCATCCAAGATTCCCTCTAAAGGGATCAATAAAGGAAAATACAGCTCAAATATTCCACAGACCTGTCCTCACATGGGCATAAGGGCTGATGTAGAGGGCTGATGTAGAGGGATGTAGAGGCCCTCAGAATAGTGTATCCAACCTGACCCAGGTTGTAAAAGTATAACTTTGAACTCCATAAAGAAGCTGAGAACCTTTGCAAAAAAGACCTTGTAGGCTGCAGGAATAAAATGTGCTCCTTTTGAATGGAAAAAACCTCAAGATAGCTGAGAGCCACATTACACAATGCTGGCCTGATAAGAGAAATGTGTGCTCCAAGGGAAGGACGCCTGAAACTGCACTCCAGGATATTTATAAGTATACACCTGCTCTGTTGGATACACATTAATTTGCCATTTATGCATCCTGTAGTAGTGTTGTGCAAAAGCTTGCACTTTAGTTGTTTAATAATTTATTACAAGCTGTTCTTTTAGCCTTAATGGATGGGAGACACCAAGGAATATCGGAGCTATAGGCTAGAATGGGAAGTCAAGAAAACTTCCCTGAAAATGGTTACTGTAAGTCAGGTAATAACTCTGCTATGCAGGCTCCTTGTTACCAGACTTCCAAGTACAATTCAAAATACTAGTTATGGCTTATAAAGCCCTACATGGTATAGGCTAAATTATTTAAGGGACTGTCTCTCTTCTGTTGCTTCTGCCCATCCTGTAAGATCAGACATTAAGCAGTGTCATCTGGTAGGACCCAGGAATTATGTCTTCTCCATCACTATGCCTGTGACAGACCTGGCTCTTTCCCCAGGCTTTGAACTAGGGTGAAATGTGAGCCCTCACTCTGAGGGGTATTACGTTTGTCTACCAGGATGACCCTCTACAGCATGGGTTCCCAACCTGGGGTGCCCACACCCCCAGGGGTTGCAAGATGGAATTTCAGGGGGTGTGACAATTTTATCCACTGAGTTAAAAGCTTATTTTTTTGAAGTTCAATTTGTTCACCCACATTAGATATTAGACTTCTTCATCTTCAAATGTGATATTACTTTTGTAAGGGGTGCAAACATTAATCAAACATTTCCTAGGGGGGTGGAGCATAGAAAAGGTTGGGAACCACTGCTGTACAGTCATGTGAAAGGCAAGTACACCCCACGTAAAGTTTTTTCTTTTTTAACATATGTGGACATATCAGTATTTTATCTTCATTCAAACAATATATAAAGATAAAGGTGATTAATTGACCAAAAACCTATGAAAATTTGATTTTGCAATTATTTATTCAACAAAAATAAATAACAAATGTGCCATTTCCTTCTGTGGAAAAGTAAGTACACACTTGGCTCTAATAGCTGGTATTGCCCTCTGGCAGAAACAACCTCAAGTAGCCATTTCTTAAAACTGTCTACCAGTCTGACATTAACCCGGAGGAATTTTTTCCTACTCTTCCATGCAGAATTTTTTCAGCTGTGTGATATTTGAAAGGTTTCTCGCATGCACAGCCTGTATCAAATCACCCCACAGTATCTTGATAGGATTTAGATCTGAACTTTGACTTGGCCATTCCAGGATCCTCCGTTTCTTTTTCTGTCTTTTTTTTCAGCCATTCCTTGGTGGGTTTACTGGAAAGTTTAGGATCATTGTCACATTGCAAGGTCCATTTTCAGTTGAGCTTCAGTCTTCTGACAGATGGTCTCACGTTATCCTCAACCACCATCTGGTACAATGAAGAATTCATAATTCTGTGATGGTGAGCTGGCCAGGCCCTGATGCAGCAAAGCAGCCCCAAACGCTAACATTTCCACCACCATGCTTTACAGTTGGTATCAGGTTCTTCTGGTGAAATGCTGTCTTTGGTTTTCACCAAACATGTCTTCTGGTACAGTGGCTCAATAATTGTGTATCTGCCTCATTTGTCCAGAGCACATTGTTCCAAAAGTCCTGGTCTTTGCCTAGTTATTTGTGAGCTGTCAGGCTCAGCCCAAGAACAACAAGGAAACAGTCCAGCTGAGTTCAGTTCCTTTATTTGCTTATACCATATAGACAGAATCTTGTCAGACTAAATCTATACTACTGCAGCTAGTGGATATACCCTAAGAGTTTTTAGGAAGTGGCTATCCTGAATCTCTTAAGCTCCCCACACTCCAGCTCTGGATTTTGTTGACTTTTGTCTCCTTGCCCTTCCTAGAATGCACTCCCTCCTTCCTGATAGCCTTGCTCTCTACTGCAATCCACCACATCACCCCCCTCCTTCGTAGAAACATTCCAGTACATCACTCCCCTCTTCAAGGTTGCTCTCTCCCTCCGAATTCTCAGGGGAACTGGGCAGCAGGGGTAGAGATGAAAGTGCAGGTGTGGTGCTCCCCTCTGAGTTCTCTGATGACTCCTCTATGTCAGGTGGCTCTTCCTGCAAGACAGCTACAGAATTAGGAAATTCAGGCCCCCTCCCCCTTGGGAGATGGATCCCTGAAATTGAAGGTCAAGCATCTTCGGTCTTGGCACCTTCCTGCCCCAGGGCTCCTCCCAAACCTTCTGCCTGTTCACTCACAACCTCCTCTGGTTGCTAGTGAGCGTCTGGAGGGTTGGGGACCTTGCGAGGCCTTGGCTTGTTAGGGAAACACTGATGAAAGTGGTGCACTAACACCAATGTGTGTCCATCCCTTGCATTTTCCCACAAACATTCTGTCTCTGGGTACCTCTTCCAATGAATCAAATACTGAATCCCTTTCCGTCTCTTTTGTGAGTCCAAGATTG